TACAATAAAACATGTCATAAAATTAAAGCTATCACCAAAGAACTATGTGACTATTACCTTATTTAGTAATCTTTGTCAAGGGTTAAAAAGAAATAAAAATTGATGTGCTTACACTTATACATCCTATGAAAATTCAAAACTGCATCACTATGAATGTTTGATAAATTAACAGGCACTCGTAAGTTAAAAATGTTAATTGATACAATTTTTATAAGCCCACTTTCTAAGCAACATAGACTGAAAAGATAATCCTTGGATCAAATAAAAAAATTCACTTAACTCTGCTAGTTCCTAGTTCTAAACAACCAAATGTGCTCACCAACTAATAGTTGACCAATATTGCCATCACCGCCTCTATCACCAAATAACATTATAAACCTCTATCACCCAATAATATTATAACTTTATGCTCCAAGGGCATTTCCAATCCATATTGTCAAAACATCGTTTTGAAATCAAATAGTAATAAGCACAAATATTCGCACAAACTACAAAGAAACAATGTAGGATTTATGAATAACTACTATGATCATCTCGTAGTTTTTCCTCCAGCATCATATCATTCGTAGCTAAAAGATTTGAAAATCTAGATTCAACAAAAAAAGGTATATTTTAATGTCACAACACCATAATGGGCTAGTTTGAGATCCAAAACTTGATTAATGAAATTTATAATATTATAAAAAATTAATCAATTTTCAAATCTCATCTGAATGCCTCAAAGCCTATTAAGCACTACCACTTCTCATCAAAGAGACGTGTAGTGTTCGACACGCATCCGACATGTGTCAGACACACCAAAACCTGTTTGATTAAAAAATAATAAATACAAATTAAACATGCATAAATATTTTATGAAAATTTTTATAAATATAATTTCTTGTATCTAAATTTTTTTTATTTAAAATATTTAAACTAAAATTTTGATTTCCTATCCACAACACCAAATCAATCGCGCGCACTCAATACCCAATTCATAAAATATTCTCATTTTCATTTCTTTTTGGCAGGTCGTGACTTTGATTTTACAACATCAACATTTCAAAATAATCTCAACATCAAAGTTTAACATTGTCTTGACATTAATGCTCGACACTAACAATTTCTACGCCTACAGCTTGACAGCTTATCTTTGTCCTACATCGTCTTAACATTGATGACAAACATCCTCTTGACATCGCTCAACTCTCGACAACATTGCATCTACTTTCTCAATGCCTAATACACGACATCGACGCCATACCTTCGATATCCTAATATTAATCATTTTAAGCATAAATTTTAATTGAATGACTTATTATTTCTAAATTATTTTTAATATTATATTTATTCAATTTTTATACATTATTTTTAAAATATAAAAATTATAATGTCATATACAACACGTGTTCGTGTTCTATATTTTTAATAATTGACATGTCCCATATCCGTGTCGTGTCGTATCCATATCTGTGCATCATAACTCAAAGCACTTCTAAAAATCATAAATTCATTGTAAGACCATAAAAGATTTCATCATCCATATCATGATGACTCTAAATACATAAACTACGAAGAAGTTAGATCATATTCCCTAAAAAATCCAACCTATAACACATATTACACAGTTTTAATTCTATGATAGTTTATGCAACCATAATTCATGTTCAACTTAAATGGCCTTTTCAATACCCTCCAAATCGTGCGTACTTAAACACCTGTAGCTTGGTAATAGCATCTTACAACCAATAACACTCAGAAAAGCATTGCCTAAGCTAACACCTTACCTTAATTTTAGAAAAGGTTGCTAATAGTTCAAATCCATTAAAAAAAAACAATCATTTTTTTATAGTAAAAGTTTGATACGGACCTTCACACCTAAGCACACCATTAGTTTTGAACTTTAACATGATCATATGAAATATGAAAAGTAAAATAAAATTTAGTCTTGGGATTGGATGGGGACATTTAAAAAAATATTAATAAAATATTTTTGAGAGTAAGATTCAAATTCTCTATACTTAGGCTGTTCATGAGGAAGCAAATGCTATGTGGGAAAAAGTAGTTAGTGGTATCAAAAATGTTGCACAATATTATGTGCTAGGAGAATCAAAAGAAAAAGCTCATAATAATCAAAATAGTTGATGGTAGAATCAAAATTTGCTTTATAAAATAATCATCATGCTTAAGTAAAGTCAAGATATAAATTTCTTTAGAAATAAATTTAATATTGCCTAATTGGAAGAGTCAAAGAGCTTAGTACCATAGATGATTGCACAGACATATATGTAAAATTAATAGTAATTAAGTATTAAGGAATGATGAAATATTAAGCCAAATTTAGGTATTAAGTCAATTAATTTTACTTTGCATGTATGTCATACTTAGAATTTGAATTTGAGGAGACAAGAAAAAGGTTGATGAATATGAATTGCACAATTCAAGACGAGTGATCTCATTTTTACATTGGAGCATGATTTAAGATTGCACAATTATGGGCCTGACATAATGCCACCATAGCTAGCCTTAACACAATTTTAAGAAAAAAAAGGCAAGAAGGATACATCTCGTGCTTGCCAGATCAGACTTGCGCCTTAATGGAAGTAAACACAATGCTCATATACTTATATTATATTATATTAATTTTCTTAATTTTTAATAACATTATTATTTATTATGTCACCATTTTGACCTCGGTTCGACCGGTCGAACCGTGAACCTCTCCTTATGATTTGTTGTTCGGTCTGATTTAAACAACCTTAGTTATTTGAACTCGTTGAGATGATAGCATCATCGAAGAGGCGAGGCTTTTTAAAAGATGCTTCACCTAGTTTATAAAAGATAGCATCAATGAAATTATAATATTGGTGTGATAGAATAGCTAAAGGTTAAAAGCTAAATATAATGAACTTATATATGGTTAAAATACACTACAAAGTGGCATATTAATATGAGTTAAACATTAGGATACTTCATCGATAATTTAAACAATTTGATGGTATACCAATAAATACAAAACTTTGGTTTTTTACCGATAAAAATTTCTTAATTATATTGCTTTAGTTTAATTAAATAGGCATTACCAAATAGTAGGATATTAACCATATAATTAAAAAGAAAATTTAAGATTGATAAATAATTAATAAATTAAAAAAATAAATAAATGTAATAAAACTCGTTATAACCAAAACAAGTTGAATATATATGAATTTACTTCATGTGGAAAAATAAACATTTGTAAAACTCACTTATGAAACTCCACTTCAGTCACTTATGAACATTTTTATCGAAGAAAGTTGGCCTTGAAAGGTGCACAATATAAACAATTATTTAAAAAAAAAGATGGAAATTGCACTATCTTATATCAAAGAAATTTAAAAACTTGTACCCATTAGCACAAATATAAAGATAACGGTGAATTGGATTTTCGCCCCTAAAGTTTTGGGCCTTGTAACAATTGTTTCCCACTTGTTTTAACGATATAGTCCCTCGAATTTGATCATTTTGCTAATTATATCTTATATCAAAGAAATTTAAAAACTTGTACCCATTAGCACAAATATAAAGATAACGGTGAATTGGATTTTCGCCCCTAAAGTTTTGGGCCTTGTAACAATTGTTTCCCACTTGTTTTAACGATATAGTCCCTCGAATTTGGACATTTTGCTAGATATAACTAAATAACCAAAAATGTTACACTCGCTACATTCTTACACCACCAAACAATAAAAAACAATCCATTGATATAAACCACCAATCAATGGTTAGTCTCCGGTTGCACCTACAAGTAGAAAATATTTGTAGAAAATTGAAACTTACTTGAATCTTGCACAAACTATAATTTACATCAAAAACTATTATCAACTTAAGTCGAATCATCAACACAAATTCATAGCTTTAATAAAATCTTGAAGCAATATAAATCAAAGTCGATTTGCTTAATATTTGATTCAATTAGAACATTTTGATTAAATTAGAACATATAATATAAATTTATACAAATAATAATATATGAGCATTTTTTTATAATATTTTCTTTAAAATAATATCCTTAAAAATAACAAATATAATTATACTTTTATTTGCTAATTAACTTCAAGGTGACATGGATTCAAGCTAGAAGAAATTATATCATGCAAATTACATGCTGAAGTAAAATGACTTCAAGTCTACTCAGAACAATACTTCAGGTCGGATAAGCGCAAAAAATATTAGTCAAAATTGAACGCTTGCTTGAAACTTGCTCAAGTTTCAAATCAATTTGAAATTGATTTAAAGTCATTTTCGATCAAGTAAAATGCCAAATTATTGTCTTGAACAAAATTTCAAACCAAGTTCATGCTAGAGCAAATTGCTCAAAATTTGAATCAAAACAAGTCATGACATATAGAAATAATTACATATGAAATTTAAAATTTATTTAATTAAAATGAATATTAGGTAAAATTCAAAATTAATTTTATTTATTGTATCATTTCATTTCAAGTTATTTTCATCATGCTTGGATTAGAATTAAAGGTGGATTAATATAATGTGAGAAACATGTTAATAATTTTGAGTTAGCTAAAATAAGAGTTGAAGATCAAAATCAATTTCGAGATGAGCCAATCAAACCTAAAACATAATTCGAGGTTAAGTCGATTTGAAGTCAAACTGAACCCAAGTTCAAGCCTAACTTACTCGGACTCAACTTGATGCCACCCCTTATGCAAGAGCTAGGCTAGCAAAGGGAGAAAAACAAGAAAGAATGGTGAAATCACCAATCAATGAGTGTAAAATGGTATACGAACCTAATAGTGATGACACTTTAGTCATTTAATCATAGATTAACAATTAGGTAGTGATGTAACTACCCAAAAGTAACTATAACAAGGTTAAAGGGACCTAATGGTAAATAAAAGCCAAAGATTATCAGTGAAAGAGATAATTATCTTAAAGCAATCAAACTGATAAATGAAATAGAAGATAACTCCTAGGCACAAGTGCATGGAAGAAACCATCCACAAAAGAAGGAAATGCACCTGTGCTGGGAACTTCCCTCCAAAGGCTCCTGCCACTAAATTAAGGCCTCCCTTGGAAACGGCTCTGTAGACACCATACATAAGCTTGAGGTCAAAATCATACAGGAATAGCCTTGCTCCTGGCTTGATCCTCTCCACCACCTCCAGTTTGCCCCTAGGAAGACCAAACAACCTAAGCTTATAGCACTCAGGCTTCGTTAGTGAGTTGCACATGAAGATTAAGCCAGAACTCTTCTCCAAGTGATCCTTCCCTCTTTCAAGGCTGGCAGGCTCCTTACCCTTCTTCTTACTCCCTGCACTAGCTTCGCCTTTAGTATTGTTAACCACCGCTGCGGCATTAGCAGCTAGAGCAGGGCTAGAAGTTACGGGCACGGGAGTTAAAGCATTAGCGGAACCCGAGGCATTTCCTCCGACTTCCTCTATCCGGCCAACACCGCTGCTCTTATTCTTTTCGGATTCTTTTAATGGCGTCAGAGTCGCACCTCCAGATCCCTTCTTCTTGGACCTTTTAGGCTTCCCCATAACAGCTGCCGAAAAAGTTGCGAATCAAAACGAAAAGGAGCCGAAAGCTATCATAGATCTCAAATTTGGAAGCAAATCGACATGCTTCCCTCTAGCAGATCGACAACTCCAATAAAAATATTTTAGTCTCAAAGTAATAAAACCTACCCCCGAATGAACAGTAGATGTTCTTACAAAAAAAAAAAGATCAGCAAGAAAGAAACAAATCACTCTTGCTCGCCAAAATAAGAGCTCAAGTTACATGAATCGAGAGGATTAAAACCCTAATTACGATAAAAGATTAAAGCAGATAGCATAAATTTTGCTGTAGAGGGTACCTGAGAGTGTGAATCTTTGAAGAACACAAAATGACCTTGAAACGGCGGAGTCGAGATAGGGCTGGAGGCAACGCCGAGGATTGGGTTTAAATAGCAGAGCAGCAAAAGATGAACGGTTAGGATTCAGCCGCGACTTTTCAATCATACATTTTTCAACTCCATATACAATTTTTTTAATTGAATATCTCTTAATAGAATTTAGATTGGGATTTTGATTTTTTTTTTTTTTTTGAGAAAATTAAACAATAAACTATTCTAACTTCATTAAGGTTAAAAAAGATATTTCACTTAATTATTTGTAGTTAATTACTATCATTTTATTAAGGGGTTCTTTGATTTAGAGTAGAGTGTAAAATATTATTTTTAATAATTTTAAAAATATTGATATTTTGTTGGATGAAAAAGGAGTACAATATAAAATAAATAAAATGCAATGTTAAGTTTTTTATTCATTTTTCATATAATGTAAATTCGTCCAACCATTGTCGACAAGATCACCGTCAACTGCCAACCATCACCTTCACTAGTGAACTACATGCGACCACCACCACTATCACCGACCACTGATGTAGACAATATAACCTCCATGCAACTGTATCACTCTTAGTTGACATGAGTGGTAATAAACATGTTGAAGAAATTCTATTTCAAATTAATCAATCATGTAAGCATACTAGTAAGTAATATCTATAATTTATCCCACATTATTGTGCACTACATATAATAAGTGAAGATTATATACTAATTAGGGACAACATAATTAATCAAAATTTATCTTTTCATTTGTAAATCTTAACAACATTTGCAAGTACTCCACCACCTCACATACACTTCAAGAAGTTGAATACCTAAATACAAAAGTATTCAGCCAAAAGGTGTGACTCAATAACATAATGATCAAATTCCAACTTTATGACCGAATTCCAACTGAGCTCAAACGGGTTTCTAAAAGGAGGGCACTAAATCAAGGGTAGTATAGTCAAAAGAGTATGAAGAGTGACTTAAACCAAAATTGTATGTCTATGTCAAAGTGAAGCCTAACCAATAGTGCATGACTATACTAGGAGTATACTTGAACAAAGAAGGCACAATTGAGTACAAAGGTGTAAAGGTTGTATCTTCTAAGATTAACTGATTAATGTATTATTTTGTAATCTAATTTAATTATTTTAATGTATAGCTGATTGGTAATTTAAATTAATGTATAATATTATAATGAAATTAAATATGTTCAGTATTTTATTATTTGAATTTTATAATAACTCTGATTGTCTCTATTGATGGTTGAGATATTTAATCATAGATTTAAGGTTTCAATCATTTCATTGGATCCTAGGGTATCACACATCACCCTCCAAACCCCTTTGATCATTTCAAAGGGCCCCAATTCTGATCTCTAAGTATCCTTATGACATTCCAAAGTATTTAGAGTGCTTATGCAACCCCTTAGGCCCTATGACATTCCAAAGTATTTAGAGTGCTTATGCAACCCCTTAGGCCCCTCCACTAATTCACCAAATTTACTCAATTGGCAAACCTAGCATCTCCTTGACCTTGTCTTGATCACTCTCCACTTACAATCATTTGGATATCCAACAAATACCCCATAAGACATCTCCAAATGTACCTCTAACCATTTCAAGAAAATCTATGCCCTAGACCTTGCATGCTAAATCAAGAATAATTTCACGATGTTCCACATGAAAGCAATAAATAAATGGCTAAAATTAAAATTGTGAAATGAAAATTTAAATTCAAGTCTTAATTTTTATTACAAAATTTTTTAGTTCAACATCTAAGTGTTTTTATAGATGCTTTCTTACTGATGATCTCCTAGCTCTTGATCCTATCTTGAGCTATAGAAGTTGACTTAAAATGGGATCTTCAAAATTAGCTTGATATTATTCAACAAATTACATATAAATAATTTATATACACATAGTTTGAAATATTCCCTACAAAATCTTATATGGCATATATGAGTAGTTTGTTTTAACATTTAAGCTATCTAATGGATCAATCACCTTCACATAAATCAGGAACCAAACCAAGTACCCCAAGATTTCATATAGCAATTAACAAAATGTACTTTCTTCAAACCTATGGCTCTCTTCTTTGAGTTTATTATCTCTATTATGGGATGTTTGATTGGCTGTAAAGTGAATCAAACATCCTAAACCCTAAATTTAAGAAAGCATAGGATTTGTTTTAGTTATTTATATAATTTGGCATTTAGCATAAATTTTGAAGAAATTTCTATCAAACAATCTCTCAATATTAAGTAAATAAACAGATTAATATATATATATATATATCTCGAATGCACCCGAAATAAGTGGAACCCTAACGGAGCGCGATACTGGTCGTCCGGCGGTGAAAAAAAGAATACTAGTAATATCTATAATTTATCCCACATTATTGTGCACTACCATATAATAAGTGAAGATTATATACTAATTAGGGACAACATGATTAATCAAAATTTATCTTTTGTCATATATGTTGATCCTATTTTCATTGCATAAAATCTACTACTTTTTAAAAGAATTATAAAGTATGATTTTTGGTTAACTAAACCTTTGATGAATTATATAGAACCACTTGCATATACTACCATGCAGAGGACCACCTCCACCCACAAATAGCACACCATGTATCTTTTCCTTTGTAAATCTTAACCACATTTGCAAGTACTCCACCACCTCACATATACTTCAAGAAGTTGAATACCTAAATACAAAAGTATTCAGCCAAAAGGTGTGACTCAATAACATAATGACCGAATTCCAACTTTATGACCGAATTCCAATTGAGCTCAAAGGGGTTTCTAAAAGGAGGGCACTAAATCAAGGGTAGTACAATCAAAAGAGTATGAAGAGTGACTTAAACCAAAATAGTATGTCTATGTCAAAGTGAAGCCTAACCAATTGTACATGACTATACTAGGAGTATACTTGAAAAAAGAAGGCTTAGTGGAGTAGAAAGGTGTAGAGGTTGTATATTCTAAGATTAAGTGATTAATGTATTATTAATAATCTAATTTAATTATTTTAATGTATAGATGATTGGTAATTTAGATTAATGTATATATTCTAATGAAATTAAATATGTTTCATATTTTATTATTTGGGTTTTATAATAATTTTGGTTGTCTCTATTGATTGTTAAGATATTTATTCATAGATTTAAGGTTTCAATCATTTCATTAGATCCTAAGAGATCACACATCACCCTCCAAACCCCTTTGATCTTTTCCAACTGCCCCAATTATGATTTCTAAGTATCCTTATGACATTCCAAAGTATTTATAGTCCTTATGCAACCCCTTAGGCCCCTCCACTAATTCACCCAATTTGCTCAATTGGCAAACCTAGCATCTCCTTGACCTAGTCTTGGTCTCTCTCCACTTACAACCATTAGGATATCCACCAAATACCCCATAAGACATCTCCTAATGTACCTCTAACCATTTCAAGAAAATATATGCCCTAGACCTTCTTGCATGCTAAATCAAGAATAATTTCACGATGTTCCACATGAAAGCAATAAATAAATGGCTAAAATTAAAATTGTGAAATGAAAATTTAAATTCAAGTTTTAATTTTTATGACAAAATTATTTAGTTCAACATCTAAGTGTTTTTATTGATGCTTTCTTAGTGATGATCTCCTAGCTCTTGATCCTGTCTTGAGCTATAGATCTTGACTTAAAATGGGATCTTCAAAATTAGCTTGATATTATTCAACAAATTACATAGAAATAATTTATATACACAAAATTTCGAATATTCCCTACAAAATCTTCTATGGCCTATATGAGTAGTTCATTTTAACATTTAAGCTATCTAATGAATCAATCACCTTCACATAAATCAAGACCCAACAAGTACTCCAAGATTTCATATAGCAATTAACATATGGCTCTCTTCTTTGAGTTTATTATCTTTATTATGGGATATTTGATTGGTTGTAAAATGAATGCAATGTAAAGTAAATGCAGTATAAAATAAATACAGTGTAAAACAAATACTATGAGGATGTTTGGTTGTCTATAAAGTGAATGCAGTGTAATTATTTTTTTTGTTTGATTGAGTGTATATAAAGTAGAATAAAATCACTGTATTCTACACATCTGCTTGTAGAATTCCCTTGGCATTCACATCTTTTGCCATATACACAGCCATGACATCACAATCACTGAAACACGAATCAACATTCCCACATGGAATGTCACAATTCGGATTGCTAACCCGTTTCTGATGTTCGCTGGACTATTCTTGCATAAAATCCCACACTTCGTCTAGCTCCAAGCCTTCACAATTAACAACTGAGGTGTGATGGCATGCATGGAAGACAAATTGTTCGCAACCCTTTGTTTCTTGAGAGAGGAAGAAGACCATCCGGCCACTGCGTGCATGCGATCCATTTGGTCAAAGGGGAAGGGTATAGACGACATCATTCATTCGTACAAGCAGGTTGTAACCGACCTTCTTTGGCTCTCGTCTCTCCCTCGCACGCAAGAATGAACTTGGATTCTCTTCCTCTCAATTAAATAAGGGTACACCTCTCTCTCTCTCTCTCTCTCTCTCTCTCTCTCTCTCTCTCATGAATCCTCCT